TCCCTGTCTTACATACTGTCGTCTCCCTGCCTGCCTCATTGGCTCGCTGCCTGCGCGCTCGCTCACTCCCTCCCACTCTCCCACTCTTCAACAAACTTGCTCTCTGTTGTCCGGGGCTCCGACCTCCATCCCTTCCTCCCGCTCTTGTCTCGGATGTCTCCCTGCTGACTCATCGCAGGCTAGTCAAAGCCAGCATCAGCGATTGCTCGCATGATGTAGAGTTCCCGTCGATCTGTGAGAGGATGCTAAATGTGAGGAGGAGGAGGAGGAGGAGGAGGAGCACGAGCAACAGCAGCATGAGATGCCGGTAGAGGAGGAGTAGGGAGCGGATCTAAGACGAGAGTTCACAGGCTCATGCAGGGATGAACTTTCAACAATATCATCACTTTCTGTCTCACACAGCTTCCAACGAGCTTGCGAGCTTGCAATCAGGTTCCTCCAGCAGCCATGAAGGTGACATCGCCTTGGGCTGCTAGCTACAGTCTGATCTCTCCCTCATAAGACGACTTGGCGCTCCTGCTCAGGTTGACGAGGCTCAAGGATGCTGTGGATGCGATCGAGGAGGTGTGTCAATCTCCTCCTTGTTTCTCCTGACCGTCGCATGCAGGAGGAGCATGTTCCCCTCCTTGCCGCCAGCGGCTGCTTGCCCAGGACCAGGTGAAGTTTGAGCGGACGGTTCGCTTCCTTGTCTTGACCGCATCGCTGGTGTAGGCACGACGAGGACGGCGGGGTATGCAGGAGCTTGGAGGAGGCGATCGGGTCGCTGAGGACGAGGCTGAGGCTGCTCTGAGCTCAGGGATCAAACAGTCGCCTGTGGCAGGACGTCAGGGGGGATGGAGCAGGAGCAGGAACAGTAGCAGGAGCAGGAGCAGGAGCAGGAGCAGGAGCAGAGGGAGCAGGAGTTACATCTTGTCGACTTGGTGTTTGAGCTCGGAGATAAGTCCCATGGGGAACGCAGTTAGCCCGTTGACTATCGATTCTAAGTTGTCCTTGTCTTGCTGCTTGTACGTCCCGGCGGCCTTGTGCTGCTCTCTTCTCTCCTGTACCTCCTCCCTCCTCTGCCTCGACTCCTCCCTCCTCGCCATCTCCTCCTCCCTCCTTCCCTCGCTCGCTCTCCCAGCCTCATCCTTCGCGAGCAGCTTGAACCTTTCGGTCTCCCTCTCCCTCCCGTCCTGGAACCGGACGAGGTATGACGGAGGAACCAAGCTGTGATCAACGTTGACCACCTTCACCTCGTACATCCCCCCCACTGCGTCCTTGTAGTAGCACGTCTGCCCCTTCCTGAGCACCTCGCAAGTCCCTCCTCCCTCAGCGGGTAGTGACGACGAGGGGACTTTCGTTGTGTCAGTAGCAGGAGGAGAACCATCCTCCTCATGCCCCGAGCACTTCCCCTTGCATCGCTTGCAGTGCTTGTAACTCTGTGCCGTTAGCTCGTGCGGCGTGCGGGACTTGTACCTGCCCGGGAGCGAGCAGTCAGCAGGAGCTGACAGCAGTAGAAGCTACTCACATCCTTGTTCTGAAGGATCTTCCCTCCTCGTTTGAAGCCTCTTCTAGCAGTCTCTTCTCCTGAGAGTCAAAGCTCGCGTCCCTGGTAACAGAGTCTTGCTGTCCCGACATGCTGTAGAGCTTGTCTTAGTCGTGCCTGCGAGAACAGGTCCATCAATTCCGCAAGCTTTCAGATGAGATAGACTAGGATGGATATCTACTTCTTCCACGCTGACATTTCGACATCATGATTTCTTTTACATCTGACCAGACTTCTCTTGTTTGCTTTCTCTTTCAACTTTATTCCATATCTACTTTCAATTTGATGATGAAGCCATGCCCTGTCTGTCTGAAATTATCATGCTCTCGCACTGGTACTGCTTCTGGCGGCCCTGCTGCTCTATCTCCTCCTCATCATCCTCATCCTCATCCTCATCCTCATCCTCATCCTCATCCTCATCCTCATCCTCATCCTCATCCTCATCATCATCCTCATCATCATCCTCATCATCATCATCACTTCTCCTCCTCCTCCTCCTCCTTGCTTGTTCCCTCGTCCTGTACTCCCCGATGCATGCTGCTAACATCAGGCCGTTGTTACCTATACCCCCACCCCCTGATTTAGCTTCCAGTACCCCCATGATTTCCTTCACTATGTTCTGGGTCCCAAACTAGGACAAACCTCAGTCTTGTACCCAGTACCCCCAATGATCAGATAGCCACCCATATATTTACCTAAAAAGTACCCCCATTTTCAGAGGTTTCTTACCACCCCACCCTCTATTTTGGTGCAGCTCATTCTCGCAGGGGTTGTAGAGGAGTTTTCCTTTCGGAAGTGAAGAGCTAGGGGGTTGGATCGAATGTTTTTGAGGGGGTAGGGGTATCAAAATAGGGGTAGTTTCTTATAGATTTTGAGTATGAAGGAGGGGTAGTTCATAAATCCACGTCCCCCCCCCCTAGCTGGGGGTACGGAGATATACGAGCAGGGTATTTCAATATTTTATTGTCATTCTTATAGCAGATAATTGAAAGTTTTATAGTTTATATGGAATGGGGGCCAATTGGACATCCGACATGGCGGATGAGGTGAGGAAGGGGGAAGAGGAAGAGGAGCAGGAGCAGGAGCAGGAGCAGGAGCAGGAGCAGGAGCAGGAGCAGGAGCAGGAGCAGGAGCAGGAGCAGGAGCAGGAGGAAGGTGGGGGGAACAGGCACAGGGTTGAGCAGGAGCTGTATTGACAGCAACAGTATCAGGACGGGAGGGAGGATAAGAAGGTGGGCAGAAAAAGTAGAAAGATTAGGAGAGAGCAGGAGAGAGAGGAGGGAAAGTTCGAGGGGATCAGCTAATGACATCGAGCAAGGAAGGAATCAAAGAATTATACCAGAGAATGATAGAGGGAAATATGGATTGCACTCTGAATCTGCAAGATGCATTTTGCGACTTGTACGTGAAATGTGAGTGGCAAAGCGATGGAGCAGTTGATTGCAAGAGAGCAATTGTTAGTTCTAGTCTGACTCTGCGTTCTTGCAGGAGTTCAGGGTGCGATGCAACGACGGGACTGTGAGATGTCAGAAAAGATTGTTGGTTCACTGACACTGAGGTGATAGATGCTGTATGGACGGGAGTGCGGTCCGAAACATGGAAGGACGGTGAAGTCTTGCGTCATTGCACCATCATGAGAGATTGAACATACATGCTCACATGCGATCTTAGAACATGTAGAACACATGATAGTGATGAGAACGCACAAGCTTTCATGTTCACAACAAACACGAGCAGCCATTCTAGCTGTTCAGACTTTCCTGCATTCTCTACGCCTGCCATGGCATCCTGTGACCTTGACATAGATCGTTCTCCTTCATGGCTGGAGTGGCTCCATGGAATACTTCAAGGAAAACGCTGCGGTGATGCCCCCGCTGCAGCTACTCTCTCTCCCTCCCCTTCCCCCTCCCCCTCCCCCTTCCCCTTCTGCACTTCCATTGTCTCCTCCTCCTCGTTCTCCTCGGTTCTCCTCCTCCTGACTCAGTTGCAGAGTCTCGGACAAAAAGGCTTGAGGGTGGTCCGATATGATCACAGGTTCCATGGGAGAAGTGACAAGGTTGGTAATAACAGTAGAAGGAGCGAGCAGCAGCAGCAGCAGCAGCAGCAGCAGCAGCAGCAGCAGCAGCAGCAGCAGCAGCAGCAGCAGCAGCAGCAGCAGCAGCAGCAGCAGCAGCAGCAGCAGCAGCAGCAGCAGCAGCAGCAGCAGCAGCAGCAGCAGCAGCAGCAGCAGCAGCAGCAGCAGCAGCAGCAGCAGCAGCAGCAGACAAGGTCTGATACCTTGATTCTTTAGCCTGATCATGGCATGCACGTTGCTCGCCTGGCGGCGGATCTGAGAGATGTCATGCAACAGCTTGATTTGTCCGATGTAAGATTGGCTCCTCCCTCCTCCCTCCTCCCTCCTCCCTCCTCCCTCCTTCCTCCTTCCTCCTCCCTCCTCCCTCCTCCCTCCTCCCTCCTCCCTCCTCCCTCCTCCTCACCATCACCGTCTTCTCTCCATCGTCCCTCGACAATCATTGCTATTCTCTCCCACTCGCCCCCTCCTCCTCCTTCACTTCTCCTGCTCACGATTCTTCTCCTTCCAAGGTCACGCTGGTTGGCACGAGCATGGGCGCTGCTGTCATCTGGAGTTACATCGAGCTCTTCGGCAGCGACAAGATCTCCAAGGCTGTTGTAGTAGACCAAGCTCCTCTGCAGAACAAGTTGCTCCTGCTCCTGCTCCTGCTCCTGCTCCTGCTCCTTGCTCCCTCCCTGCTCCCTGCTCCCTGCTCCCTGCTCCCTGCTCCCTGCTCCTGCTCTTTCTACAGCTGCTCTTCCCTTTCTTCTTTCTCTCCTTTTTCTTGTTGTGATCGCCATCGCTGACGATTTGTTGAAGGCTGGATGATTGGAGCTTCGGAAGCAAAGGATGTTACGACGAGAAGACACTCAAGAACCTGCAGGTCAGTTTGACAGAAGCATGCTATACTCCCTTGTTGCCCTCACACCTCCTTCTGCTCCCTTCCTCTCTCCTCTCCTCTTCTCTTCTCACCTCTCCTCTCCTCTTCTCACCTCTCCTCTCCTCTTCTGATTTCTCCACATGAACGGCATGTAAAGCTTGTTTGATTCAATTCATGATCTTCAGAACGAGCTTGCAAACAACTTCTCTGCCTTTGCGCAAGGCAACTATGGTGATCAATGATTACACCTCAATTTCGTCTCTTCTTGTATTTGTTCTCCTTCCTCTGCTTCATCTTTTTCTAATTCTCCTTCGTTCCTCCTCCAATTCATCATTTTCCTCAATTTTTTTACCTTCCATTCGTCGCCCTTGATTTCTTTTCTGCTCGTCTTCTCTATCCTCGCCCCTGCTATACCTCCCCTCCTCCTCTACGTCCTCCTCCAGCTTATTATCACTCTCAGATTGCTGCGTCTCAATTCCTCTCAGCGAAGATCTCAAAAAGGTGAGAGGAGAGCGCGACGAGGAGGACCAAGACGAAGACGAGAACGAGGACGAGAGGAGGAAGAGGAGGACGAGGACGAGGAGAATGAGGAGGACGAGGACGAGGACGAGGACGAGGAGGGCCAGGAGGGAAAGGGCGAGGAGGACGGGAAGGTGGAAGGAGGGGGGAGTCAAGGAGAGGTGGATCAGAACAAGGATAAGGAGGATGGGGCAGACGAAGAGGAGGCGCAGGAGGACAAAGACGAGGATGAGGACGGGGACAGAGACAGATACGGGGACGGGGACGGGGAGGAGGCACTAGAGAAGGAGCAGCAGCAGCAGCAGCAGCAGCAGCAGCAGCAGCAGCAGCAATCGTTTGACGCATGCAGCAGCTGGTGATTGACGAGACTTTGTTGTGCTCGGGGCCTCAGCTCGGGAGGCTCATGGCCGACCACACGCAGGTGCCCGACCTTGTCATGCTGACTCTCCTCACCAGCTATACCCCAGCTGGACTGGCGGTCCCTGCTGCCAACCATCGAGATCCCCTTTCTCAACTGCGTCGGAGGTCAGCTGGACTTGAGCTGGACTTGAGCTGAGAGGGCTGGCAGGCAACAGCGGCTGCTTCCCGCTCGAGGGGACGCGCAGGGTGGGGGAGCTGATGAAGAGCTGCAAGACCGTGACGTTCAAGGAGGCGAACCACTGGTATGCTCCTCCTCCTCCTCCTCCTCCTCCTCATCCTCATCCTCATCCTCATCCTCATCCTCATCCTCATCCTCATCCTCATCCTCCTCATCCTCCTCCTCCTCCTCCTAGCTGGCTAGTGCTACCCTTGCCCTTTCTATTCAGCCACTGTTTCCTCCTCCTCCTCGGTTCTCCTGCCCGCCTGCCTCTCCTGCTTTTGCTTCTCTCCCTCCTGGTGACAGAAGGATAGGCTCTACCTGGAGGAGCCGGAGAAATTCAACGAGCTGGTGTCGTCGTTCGTCACGGGAGAAGGATGGAGCGCGTACGAGGGGGTCTCGAGCCTCTGAGAGGAGGAGGAGGCGAGCAGCGAAGTTGCAATGGCTGAGGAGGGGAGGACGGGAGGTAGAGGGAGGAGCCGAGCAACTGATTACGAGGACGAGGACGAGGAAGAGATGGGGAAGCAAGAAGTAGGATCAAGAGGAAGCATTCAATGGCTCCCAGCTTATTATTCTTAAAACACGCAACTGCACACGGACAGGGAGGGTAAACAGCAAAGATCTTGCTCGCTAAAAATCGGCAGCAGCTGAAAACAACACAAGAAGGAGCAAGACCACAAGACCGATGTGCGTACAAGTTATCAAAACACGAGAGATCGCAAACATATCACACACAGACAGCAGACCATGCTTGCACCTCAACTCGACTGCATGTCTGGCAGCTGTACAAGGAAGATCTCACTGCGTGGGATTGGTGGCAACAAGGAAGCAGTAGGGCTGTGGTGGAGAAAGGAAGGTGGAGGAGGAGGAGCAGGTGGAGGAGCAAGAGCAGGAAGAGGAGGAAGAGGCGTCAGTAGCTACCAACGAGTCCTTCACCTCTTACCTGGTTCCTCTTGTGGAGCAGATTCAAGTCCATGTTCACCTGCCGCACACTCTCAACACCTGATGCCCAGGAAACCCTTAGCTGTACCATGAGCTGCTGGTTGTCCTTGCGGATAAGGTGGCAGTAGAAGGCGGAGTTGCACATGCCCGATGATATAAGCCGTTGCCTAGCACACACATGGTAAGGGGGCAGCAGCAGTAGCAGGATGAGAAGCAGGAGCAGAAGCAGGAGCAGAAGCAGGAGCAGGAGCAGGAGCAGGAGCAGGAGCAGGAGCAGGAGCAGGAGCTGCAGGGCAAGGGTAGCAGAGCAAGGAGCAGGAGCTGCAGGATAAGGATGAGGCATTTTCTTGGTTCTACCAGTGTTGGGAAGAAGCGTCGCTATCACAAGGCGCTGTGTTGTTGAGGAGAGAAAGTCCGTGGATCTCCTGCTTGGAGTACCTTTCTTGCAGGTCAGCAGATGGACAGGAGCAGGAGCAGGAGCAGGAGCAGGAGCAGGAGCAGAAGACCGTAAGAGCGGAGGAAGGAGAAGAGAGAGGAGAGAGGGAGGCGGGAGAGAGAGGAGAGGGAGGAGAATAGCAAGAGGAGGGGGCAAGGTCTACCCAAGCAAGTTGCAGAACGCTGCGTTGCTCTCCCAGATACATCCATCGAGACCACAGAAACAGAGAGGTTGTCTGGTGATGTCGAAACTGAAACAAGAAGCCATCAGTACGAAAACATCATCATCTCAATCGTCGTCGTCATCATCATCGTCATCGTCATCGTCGTCGTCATCATCATCATCTTCGTCATCATCGTCGTGGTCGTCATCGTCATCGTCATCATCGCCACCACCACCACCATCGCCATGTCCACAACTCTTGCTATCGCTGTCGACATTCACTGAGAGCGTTTCACCTCTGCTTGAAATCGTTGCTGGACGGCTGGGTGGGGGGTCGACCTTTCGTTCCGAGTTTGACTTCCTTATGATGTTCGAGCTCCGCCTGATACCACCAGAATGAGAGAATGAGGGAGGGGGGACAAGAAGGATAGAGAACAGCAGCTCCTGCTGCAGAAGAAGGAGAAGGAGCAGGACCAGGAGCAAGAGCAGGAGGAGAAAGGAGTTGTTTGACCTGTAGCTGTTTGATCATCGCAATGGTATTCTGTAAGATTGTGTTCTTATCGAACTTGGAGTCCGCACTGCCACACTCGTATCATCGCACCACCAAGATCCTCAGCACACTAGTCCACACCCGCAAGGGAGCAACGCGCGCAGTTCGTCGAAGTATTGCTTCGCCTTCTCTCTCCTCCTCTGCTCCACCTGGGCTCTTGTAAGACATCGGCTCTCAGCCATTCACCACGTCCGTACCTCCTTGTGACTAAGCCTCTCAGTCGAGTCTTCGAGCATGCTCGCTGCTCCAGTCGTCAGCAGGATGTAGCAGACCAACACATCTCCCCACCTGCTGTGATAGCTGAGACGGCAGGTAGCGCTGCCGCCATGGCTGCAGACGAAGGTACATTTCCCCCCAGCATGGCTGCAGAAAACAGATCGGCAGGTCGCACATCACAACCTGGAGACTCACCCGCCGCTGATGTCGCCTTGGGCCCTCCCGTCAGTACTTTGGCGTGACCCATCGCCGTGTGGTCCATGACGGACTGCCCAGCAACCGCACTTGCAGCTGAAGTGGGCAACACATGTACATTCGAAACCTTCTTGGCCTTGTTGTTAGCAGAGGAAGCGGATAGGGAAGAAATTTGGTTCTGAGGGAGATGAGCCTGCGAGTGAGGGGGCTGAGAGCTCTGCGGCTGTACACTGAGCATGGGAGAGGAAGCGAACGGGGGCATCGAGGGCTCCGAGTTTCCAAAGGAACATGCTTCCTTGAAGGAGTTGGAGAGCTGGTCTGTGCCGACATCGTCCATGGCAAAAAAGCCTCCGTCCACTCCCCCTTTCCTTGCAAACGGGAAGTCGTTGGCATGAAGGTCGAGATTGTCGCTCAGGCCGTAGCTTCCAGCTCCGAAGCTCCCTGCTAGGGCATCCAAATTCCCAGAGTTCTCGTTTCCGGTGTAGAAGGCGTCCAGGATGTCGCCGTCGTCTCGCTTGTAGCTGTTGGGTCCTGGCCCGTCTCTCATCTTCTTGCTCAGCATCTGGTGAATCTTCTCGATGGATTCCTGGCGATCATTGCTGCCCGTGTCGAAGTGCTCAGTGTCCCATACCAGCTCGTGGATCTGGTTGGGGGAGGACCCAAGGAGGTCCAGCGAGTCCGATCTGTCTCTCTTGAAGTTGTCCATCCTCAGAACAGAACTGGACTTTCCACTACTCATACCACCACGAGCGGGCCCCGGTCAGTTGCCAACAACTGCCCTGTAGCATCTCCCCGTCAGCAAACCAAGAAAGACCAAGAACTGTTACTGTACCTGACAAGAACTGGCGACAGGAGTTGCTCCCGCTGCCGATCTCGTCCTGTCCAGTGCAAGAGCAGGAGTTCTGAAAACTAACTAAGGAGGTTCTACACAGGGAAGAGCACCCAGCAGCGTCCAAGGTGCTGTTGCAGAGACAGCGTTGCCGAAAACAGCAAGCTCCGAACGCAGGGGGTAGGGGGGTGAGAGAGGGGGGGCAGGAGGAGAAGACAAGGTGTCGGAACAAGTAGAAGAGATGTGAGAGAAGCTAGAGGAAGGAAGGGGCCGGGAGGAGGAGAGCGGCGCCGATGCAGGGAGGGGGGGGGAGGAGGAAGCGAAGGGGGCGGGGAAGCGAAGGAGGGGTCGAGGGGGGGGAGGGGAGAGGTGAGAGGAGCGGTGGTGGTTTAAGCGACATATTGGCTAATCTATCTATATATTGGCTAATCTAGAAAGATTCTTCTTGAATTAACCCAAATATTAACCCAAATCTGCGGCAGTAGGGTTAACTGAGTGACAGTGGCCGCCGACGCTCAGCGGCTAGTCCCGGGCCCCCGGGCCCGTTCGGTCCGATCACCGTACCATGCCACTGCCAGTGACAGTGGTCGCCGCCCGGCCCGCCACCGTCGGTAAGCCACGGTTCAACGGTTCGCCGGGGGCTCGGGCCGCGGCGGCTCGGACCGGGGCGCCTGCCCGCCGCATCAGCGGCCGCTGGGCCGCGATGGTCGGCCCGGTGACCGCACGGTACCCGCCGTACGGTGTTGGTGGCCGCCCGGAACGGCGGAGCGCGGCGGGGGCCGACTGCTGACCGTCACTACCCGGTAGTGCTGAGACTCAGGGAGTCGGAGTGACTTCCGAAAACGGTCCGACGGTCCGATCAGGGTGCTGAGCGGCACGGACGGGTGCCGGCACGCCGGGTGGTGGGTCGCCGGCTTACCGAGTAACTTGCAAGTTGTAAGACGGTTCTAAGTTCAACTTGTGTTCACGGTTACACCGGCACGGTGTGCCATCCGTCAGTGCAGTGCCGGGCCCGGCCCGGGGCCGACTGCCACACTGCCCGGCCAGACTCGGCTCACTGCTGCGGGGCCGGGCCCGGCCGGGCGGCCAGCCTGGGCCAGTCACGCACCGTGACTGCACAGCGGCAGTTTGAAAAGTTTAACACCGTAGCACGCGGCAGTCGTGGGGCCCCCGGGCCGCCGGGCGGCCGGGCCGGGCCGGCCGCCGTGAACTTGAATTGAACCCGCACGGTGGCGCCGCCGGGCCGGAGCCCGGCACGGTCACGCCCACCGGGCTTCAAGCAACCGGGCCTTTGCGGCTCAAAGCCAGTCCGGCGGTCCGTCAATCCAAGGCTCCGCCCGGGAGTACGCCGCCGGGCCGAGGCTCACTGCCACGGTGTCAGGGTACGGTCAGTCAGTCCTGGCAAGGGGCCTCAGGCTCAGCCTGGCTCGACTCTCCTGATTGTCCTCGTACTGATCTTTAACTTAACTTTGAGCAAAGAAAGTGCCAACCATGGCAGTTGCCGCGACCGAGGGCCTCTGACTTGGAGACTCCCCCGGATGCTCCTGACTGATTTTTCAGTGTACGAAGACAATACGAACTTTCTTTTTCTTCAGTCCTGTAGCGACATACGTGCAGAAAGAAAGTTCGTAATCCCTCCTCCCGGTGCAACACTCCTGATGCTCTTACTGTCTATACAACAGCTTCCGCTTGCAAACTCGAAAGAAGTGCTGCAAACGTACGCGACTCTGTGTTTGGATATATCCCGATCATCCTCATCTTCGATGTTTATACATGTTGCATGCTTTCGCCTTTCCGGCAAATGTGATCACGACGTGTCAACCAGTATCTTAAAACTTGACCAGATGAGTCTGCAACGTACATGGTCGAATTGCGCTTGAAGACCTGAAAGTTTCAATCAAACATGGAAGATATGGAGAAATTCAAGGCTTACTTGCACATTAAACAGTGTTGCAATAAAACTCTGTTCTCACACCAATCTACTCATTCATCCCAGCACAAAACAGAGCCTCCACACACTCCTTGAGAATCTTTCGTTCCACCAACAAGATTGGGCATACTTTGTTCTTCAGGTTCCTGCCTTCATTCCGTTAGAACTATACGGACTTGAAGATTATGTTCCAGCTGCTTTGACGAGTTTGACACGCCAGTTTGATCACGCCGTTTGCTCAAGGCACAGAAGTTGTTTCGACGGTCATCACTCACTTCAAGAGTAAAACTATCGTCACGTCTATCATGACTTTTGTTCGCAGAGAGTCGCTCAAAGCTGGACGTAGTTGAACTTCAAGTAAAGTTGTATTGCAGAGCTGCTTGTTCAGAGAGTGCATCTTTGGTTTCGTACAATTCTTGCGGGAGGGAAGTTGTCAAGAAAGGATTGGCATCGAGAGACACAGACGTCAAAAAGAATAACCGAAGTTTGTTAGATCATTCTGATACCAGACTTCCACAAGTTTCTTGGCTGTGCTGGTATAGATCAGGGAGTAGTGATACCTAAGAATGGTCATGATTTCTTGGTCTACTTCCATACCCTCAATCATTCCTCGCTTCCAATCTGAGGAAGAGTTCTCATGCGGCAGCATGGTGACATTCCGCTGCAGCGCGGCTGCGAGGACGAGCAAATCCGAAGAGAGATGCTCGAAGCGTAATAAGAAATCCACCTTCAAGTTTGGGCCTCCTAGGAAGATGGCGTAAGGAAAGAAGATCCAGTAGTGAAGCCATTCCGGTGACCCCAAGGTGGTCTCAAGCCATGCTTCAAACGCTCTCCCCACTGTGCTCACGTTGTGCTTCCCTGGAAACGCATTGATGAGTCGGTGAGCGAGCATACACTGTTTCTTAGGGTCCGGCAGCTGTCCCCTCCATCCATGAAGACAAAACCGAAACCAAGAGAGCATGCGATCAAACGGGTTTCGAATCACGCTGAAGGACACATGCGGGCGAGCGTACTCCCTTGCTCGATCGACGGCAGGGAGATGATTCTTGTGGAGATCGAGGGCCCTCTCGATTGTCTCTCCTCCAGTCTTGGGGATGTGCAAGAATATCAGCTCCGATCGCTCTGCAAGAGGAATGGCTGATGTGGATCTCCCACATATTATGTCACGAATGTGCGTGCGGTACAGTTCCATGTCGTTCGAGCAAAACGCCCTCGGGTGCTCGTTTGGCAGGGAAAGGTTTGCCGCAAGTCTTGCCGCAGGGGTTAACATGATTGGCTGCATGATGAGCTTGTGGAGAAGACAGTGAGAAGTCAAGCTCATGGCAACCAGCAACATCACCGCGCAGAACACCATGTTGACTCCATAGCGCCGCACTCTCCGATTCACTGCCATATCGAGCTCAGACTACTCTCGAGCTAGCCAAGGTTTGTAATAAAACCTTGACCAGATCTTGACCTTGTCTGTAGTCTCCTTTACTCAAAGTTAAGTTAAAAATCAGTACGAGGACAATCAGGAGAGTCGAGGAGGCTTGAATTCACTACACGGTACTGTGGCCCGGACCGGCCCGGACCAGCATTGCTGTCAGGGCTGGAAAATGTAGGGGTCATGAATAGGTGTAGGGAGAATGAAATTACTGGGGTGGGGTAGTGGAGGTTGGCTCAACGGACATGGCAGCTTTGGTGAAAGGGAGAGGGAGGGAGGGAGGGAGGGAGGGAGGGAGGGAGGGAGGGAGGGAGGGAGGGATCAACAAGAGGAGGAAGGGAATAAAGGAGGGAGGGAGGAGGAAGAGCATGGAAGGAATGGATGAGGGAGAGATGGAGAGAAGAGGATGTGCGATGAAGAACGGCTGCAGGGAGGATGAGACAGTAAACGATCCGGGGAGACAAGAGGAGGAGGCAAGGGAAGTCAGGGGGACGAGAGAAGACGGAAGGGAAGAAGTTGAAGGGATAAACTGGCAAATGGACGTGGGCCAGGATGACGATTGTTGTTTTAACGATCATGACAATGGAGATTTTATACCTTACAAAAAGGGGTTGGATGTAGAGAAACTCATTGAGCTGTGTGCAGGGCTTTCCCGCATGCATCAGGAGTGCCGGATCGCAGCCTTGTGACTTGTTTCATCACCGGTACACTATCATTCCACCTTGCTCCCAACTGAAGGTCTGCGATGTCGCTCTTGTGCAGTTAGTTCGTCCCTTGAAACATGGAGATCGTCAAACGATGGCTGCGAGAGAAGATTGGGATGGAAGGGTTGGGGCAAGGGGATGTTGAATCGCAGTTTGCAAACGGATACAAGATCGGACAGGTTGTCTTCCTGCCATTCCCAACCTCCTGATCTTCCTTCTGCTCTGCTCCCCGCCCCCCCCTCCCCCCTCCCTCCCTCCCTCCCTCCCCTCCCCTGCCTCCCGCAGCCTCCTTTTGTGACAAGCCCCTCCTCTCAGGTGCTCGAGAGCTATGGGATTCAGCCCGACTTCGACAAGTTTGTCAACAAGGATACGCCTGATGCCAAAGTGAACAACTTCGAGCGGCTGCAGCCCATTCTGCGGGAGCTCAACATCAACTTCGACAGCCACAATGCCAACCAGATCATCACAGAGGAGCCGGGGGCAGCGCTCCGCCTGCTGCAGCAGATCAAGGTCGCGCTGGACAGCTCGACGTCCTCGAACCCGTTCCGCAAGGGGTCGAAGACGTCGACCGCCCTCCTGCTCACGACCAACAGGCTCTCCAGCAAGGAGAAGTACAAAGACATGGAGGAGAAGACCTTCACGAAAATGCTGCGGTACAAGTCAGCCAACCCCCGGGAGTTTAAGATGTCCAACTACCTGCGGCCGTTCGAGGAGGAGGCCATACAGCAGGCGCGCGTCGCCGAGCGACTGAACGCGATCGACGCGCTGCAGCGAGAGCAGATGCTGCTGAGCAAGAGAGACTCTCTGCGGCTGAAGATGGCGGAGAACAGAGCCTACCTGCAGGACTGGGAGAGGGAGGGGAGGATTAACCATGCCAAGAACCAGGCGGTGAGGAAGGAGAGGGAGAGGAGGGACCTTCGGTTGGAGCTTGCGATGCGGGAGAAGGAGCGGAGGAGGAAGGGGATGGAGAACTTGGAGGCGGCCGAGCAGGTGGAGGAAGGAATCGACTCATTCGAGGAGTCTTTGCGGCGCGTCCAGGACTTCGTTGACACGCCAGTTGACGAGGCGATGCTGGGGATGACGGACAGCAGGACGCCACAGGAGTTCCTGCAGTCACTGACGGGGAAGATCCCCAGAGGAGATGAGCTGCGGGCTGACAGCGAGCACTACATGATTAAGGTGCAGCAGAAACGGCAGGAGGACGAGATCGCAAGGAAGGAGAGGGACCGGAGGAGGAGGAGGGTGCTGGTGGAGCAGATGAGGACCCAGAAGGAGATGGAGAACAGGAAGAAGGAGGAGCAGCTGAACGAGAAGCTCATCCGTCAGAGCGTGCAGGAGGCGAAGATCGCCGAGGACCTGCACCGAGTGCTGGCGCAGAAGGAGGCGATGCGTCAAGCTCGTCTGAGGAGGGAGGAGCAGTACCGCAGGATGCGGGAGCAGCAGTACCGAGAGGCTCTGGAGCGCGATGCGGAGATCTACAAGGTGAAGAGAAAGGAGTACTTCGTGAAGCTGGAGATGGAGAAGTCCCGGTTCGAGGAGCTGGAAGAGGAGAGGATGGCGAGGAGGAGGCAGAAACACTTCGACGCCTGCAGGAGGATCGTTGAGCAGACGGTTGACTTGGTCTGGAAGGTGGTGGAGTACCGAGAGGTAGCAGAGCACGTTACGGTGCCGAACAAGCAGTGGAGGGAGTGGATTGCGATCTTCGTTGCTGGAGAGCCACTGTTCCCAGTGGTGAAGGATGCGGAGGAGGAGGAGGAGGAGAATGAGAAGAAGGTGAAGAAAGCCAAGACGCTGCCCGTGGAGGAGGAGAAGCAGTCGGATATCATAGACAGCAGGGAGTACTTTGCGTACCTGGACATGGAGGACGAGTGGAGGCTGCAGGAGGCCGCGCCCAGTGCAGAGGAGGGGGCGGAGGAGGAAGGGAAGGAGGAGGAGAAGGCAGAGGGGAAGGAGGAGGAGGAAGCAGCACTCTCTCCTGTGCAGAACAAGATCTTCGGGGAGTTAGTCAAGGATCTTCACGACACGACACTCGAGGTTATCCCTCCTCCCGTCACTCCCGCCGAAATCCCTCGTCCTCCTCACCGTCTCAGCATCGCCGGCGCTCCTTTCGCCGGCTCCTCCCGCCAGGCTGAGAAGCTTGCGGCCGAGTTTGACCTGACGGTTAGTCCGACTGCTTGACACGCGGAGGAGAATTCTTGGCAGTTGTACTTGTAGTTGTTGTTGTAATTGGTGGTGGTGCTGATGATGACTATGCGCATGTCAGTGATTGTTGTGTCACGGTCGAGCTGTTGATGTCTTATCACGCATGTCATCCCATGATGTCTGCGTCTGATCTTGTTCAATCCTGTCTGATTTTGACAAACGAGAAACTTCTGTCTTGCATTCTTGTTCCTTGTGTTTGTTATCTTCTCCCTCCCTTTGACAAACTTGGAACCTGCTCCTTCAATCTCTATTCTTTCTCAGCTCTCCTTCCTCTTCGTCTCCTTCCTCTCCGTCTCCTTCCTCTTCGTCTCCTTCCTCTTCGTCTCCTTCCTCTTCGTCCTTTCCTCTTCGTCTCCTTCCTCCTCGCTCTTCCCCTGACCTCCTTCCTCTCCCAGATCATCCGCGCGCAGAAGTGCATTGCGGAGGCCATCGCCGACTTTGAGGAGGTCATGACGGCGCACGACGAGGCTGTTGCTGCTGCTCAGGAGGAAGCGAAGGAGCAGCAGGAGGGCGAGGAGGAGGCGCCAGAAGTGCCTCTGCCTTCGTTGACCACCAGACAGTCTCTTGGTGGACAGGTCAATACTTCTCTTGTTTCCTCTTCTTCCTCCTCCTCGCCCTCCTCCTCGCCCTCCTCCTGCTTTTCCCTCCATCTTCCTCCCATTTTCCCATTCCTCGTTCGCGCCCCTGCCGTCGACTACCACCACCACCACCGTCACCATCACCACCACCACCGCCACCTCTACCTCCCTCTCCTCCTCCTCCTTTCCCGCCTCTCACTTTCCCTCAGATCCGCGAGGCCATGAACGCAGGAGGCGGAGCTCCGGACAACACGCTCGTTGCTCTCCTCGTCGAGAAGATCAAGGAGGTCGGGCAGGAGAAGGGCTACATCCTCGACGGCTTTCCCGCCACCGTCAGTCAGGCTCGTCATCTTGAGCAGGCACTTGCCGGCATCGAGGACGCGCACGTGGCGCCGAAGCCGCTTCCTCCCAACTCGAGACTCGCTCCTCCTGTCCCAGAGGAGGTGGAGAGGACGGGGGACCTTCCTTCCGGCCTCCTGCTCTACCTCCGGCTGCATGTCAGCAGGGACGTTTCCATCCGCAGGAGGATTGGGAGGCTGCGGGACCCAGACGACCCGGACGGCGCCTGCTACCACATTGAGTTCGATCCTCCTCCTCCTGAGGACTCGGCGCTGGCATCGAGGCTGGAGGAGGTGGTGGAGGAGGACGGGGCAGACGCGTCGCTGCTGACGAGAGTCTCCTCCTACCTGGACGAGAAGCCAGCGCTGGACGCCTGGTTCGCACGGTTCACCAACAAGGTGGAGGTGGAGGCGGAGGGGAGTACGGAAGAGGTCTTCGAGCAGGTCAAGGAAGTTGTTGCTCAGCAGCTGGCGAAGGCGGAGAAAGAGGGACAAGAGGAGGGGGCTGCAGAGGAGAAACAGCCGGAGGAGGAGGCCAAGCAGGAGGGGGAAAGCGTGAAGAAGGGTGGAGAAGGAGAGGGAGAAGGGGAAGGGGAAGGGGAAGGAGAAGGGGAGGGGAAGGCTGAGGAGGACAAGGAGGGAGGGGAAGCAGCAGAGCCGGAGAAGCCTCCCCCTGAAGTTCTTCCGCTGCACGAGGACGTGGCAAGGCTGCTGCTGGAGCAGTGGAGGGGGTGGAGACTACGTTTGAGCTGGAGGTGAGGAGGAGGGAAAGGAGGAACGTGGGGAGAGGGGGGAGGGCGAGGAGGCAGAGGGGAGAGAGGAGGATGGAGCGAGGGTTAAGGAGTGGGGGCAGGTGAGCGAAGGAATGGAGATGAGGGAAGGG